CTGCCAAAGGGTCAGCCACCGCAAGAAGGGGCATCCAGAGGCACATAACCAGACGGGGGTTCATACTCGCCAGCCAAGGGGTCAGCTACCACATCAAAGGAGCATCCCGAGGTTTCACAACGGCGCATGATCAGAATCAGTAAGCCGCCACCACAGCCAAAGGATCAGCTACCACAAGATGGAGCATCCGGAGGCTTAACACCAGATGGGGGTGTGTACTCATCAGGCCTTACAGAAGAGGGCTTACCAGGCGGGGGTTCATACTCGTCAAATACCAGATGGGGGTGTGTACTCATCAGGCCTTACAGAAGGGGGCTTACCGGGCGGGGGTTCATACTCGTCAAACCAGATGGGGGTTCGTACTCATCAGCCGAAGGGGTCAGCTACCATGACAAAAGAGCATCCCGGAAGCGCACAACACAACATCTCCCCAGAGGATCACCCGCCGCAAAGATGGAGTATCTGAAGGGAAACCGGGAAAGAGGGTCAAACTCTTTTACCCTCCAGTCGATCACCTTGGCACAAAAGGCCAGCAGACGACTGGTCGGGTAAAGGGGGGGCAGCTGTAGACCCCAAATCTTGCCCGGCCTCCAAATAAAGTCAGAAGACCTCCTATTTGAAGACGACCAAAGCCTAACAAGCCACTAGGAGAGACTATTAGGCCCCCGTACTAAGATAGGAGGGTTTTTTGGCCCCAAAAATAAAGTTTCTCGCCCTGAAGGAACGAGACCGCCGTCTGGAAGGACCAGACCGCCGTCTCGCCTCGCGCCAGGGACGAGACCGCCATCTGGATTATCCAGACGGCGGTCTCGACTTCTGCCTAGTCGAGACGGCAGTCTGGATTATCCAGACGGCGGTCTCGACCCCCTGCCATGGTCGAGACGGCGGTCTGGATTGTCCAGACGGCGGTCTCGACCCTGTCAGACGAAACGGCGGTCTCGACCTGTCAGGCGCGAAAAACTATAAATAGGGGCTCTCCCCCCCTCATTTCCACACAGAAAAACACAATTCCTCCTCCTTCTCTCTAGATTTTCTCTCTCTAGAACCCCTCCGAAGCATTTTCGGAGTTTCTGAGTGTCTTTAGGAGAATTTTGAGCGTTCTAAATCTTCTTTAGAATCCCTCCGAGGCATTTCCGGAGTTTCTGAGCGTTGTAGAGTGAAGGGCTGCCACAAAGCACCCTCTTTCAAAGAATATAAGAAAGCTTGCTTCGAAGGTTCATAAACCTCTTTATTTACTTTACCGCTTCCATTTAAATTATGCAATAGACATTAGGGCCATGTAGTCACAAATTTAAATACCGCATAATAAAAGGGTAAAAGCGCAATTTTCCAGTTTAATTATTTATCCAAAAGTAGCTGGCCTATCATAGGGAACCCGAAAGGGGCGTCGTAAAGGAACTAACACTTCCTTTACACGTAACTAACTCCCTTACCCAACTCTGGTTCTAATGACCAAAGTTGGTTTTCGAAAACCAACACCTTTTTAACTCCTTTTCCAATGTTTCTGGTAAAAACATCGGTGGCGACTCCACGAACCCTTCAAATCCCGTTCTTGGGTTAGCCCAGTTATCGGACAACCCAAGAACACTTTTCGAAAACCTCGTCTCTAGGTTAGCGCGGTTATCGGACAACCTAAGGACGTTGTAACCACCCATAAAAAACGCGAAAACAAGAGGGTCGAAAAAACCATCGCGTCGCTCCGACCGCCTCTTTTTGACGGCAGCGACAGCAGTTAATTGTAATCATACCCCGGGATTACACTGTGGTGTGGTTTTGTTCATTACATCGGAAACCAAGTCAAGAAATGAAAAGTTTATTACAAGGGTAACTTTATCTTTTATTCATTAATTATGTTTTTAAATTGTAAATACATATTGAATAATATATGACTTTTTTTCACTTAGAATCGTGTCTGGAACTAATGTTCTAAGTGGAAAACCTAGAACAAAGACTTTGCAGTTCATTTATCCTAAGGTTAGAAACTTATTTATATAAGTGAATACCATAATTATTATTTGTATTTAAATTTTGAAAATAACATTATGTTTTTTTCATCATTTCAGTGTAATAAGCAAACAAACTCGTTTGAATGTGGTTACTATGTTATGTATTGGATGAGAGCCATAGTTTGTGCGGGTATAATTGATTCTTGGACGGAGGTAATTGCTTTTAACATTAGTTAAGTTTATTTAACTTTATTCATGTTGCATGTTTACAAGAGTCAAATTAATGTTTCAGGTATTTCAAGATTCATCTCCATTACCAAAATATGATATTACACAAATTAGAGAACAATGGGCAAAATTTTTTGTTCAACAATTCTAGTACATAATTTTTTAAGTTCTTGTTCATATTATATTGTGTGTATTATGTAGTTTAGGTAGCTTAGTTTGTATTAACTTTTAGTTTGTAATAGATTTTTTAGTTTGTATGTTTGTATTATATTGTTTTATTATGTAGTTTGAATTATATAATATTATATTTTTAATTTACTAGCTAAAGAACATTGAACCTCTGGACTGTCTGGTTGTAATATATATTTACGGGTTTTAGTTGTAAAACAGAATCAACCCAATTTAAAAAAAAAACAGCAAATTTACGTCGCGTATACCAATATGCGACGTAAATTTGCTGTTTTTTTTTTTAATTTCCAAAAGTTTTTACGTCTGTTTAGTGGTATATGCAACGCAAAATTACATCGGGTCTTGATAACTGACGTAAATTTACGTCGAGCTAAAGGGTCCGACGTAAATTTACGTCTCCCATTTTAACGTCAGTCTTAAATACGACGTAAAAGGCCCTAAATACCTGACGTAAAAGCCCCTTTTTGCACTAGTGCTTTAAGTTGTTGAAATTTAGAATCTGGTTTCATATTAAACGGATATTTGTAGCTCAAGTTATACTCATTTTACTGTCAAGTGTTCTAGTTGTGACGTTAAGATGTTGCCCTGTTTCAACTGCCTCGTTTTTGAATTATTGGGATTGATACGTGTGAAATTAGGACTTGATTCCTTCATAAAAGTTGTAGGAAATTATATTCCCGAAATTTAGAAATTGGTTTCATGTCAATAGCTTATGTGTAGCATGGGTTATAGTCAAATTACCAAGGCATGTTCAGAGTGTTATTGTAATTGAGCCGAGTTGGAAAGAACCACTGAAAACTGAAAACTTCATCTATTATATAGGGTATTTGAATTTATTTCCTTCATCAATATTGTAGGTAATTAAGTTATTGAAATTTTGGCTCAAATCTCATGTCAAAACAGCTTATATAACTCTAGAAAATTCCAAAATACTGACTGAACCTTGTCCATGTTTGCTATTAGGATTTTTCCTACTCTAAGTGTATACAAGATAAGATAATTTTCTAAGTTAATTGTAAGCTGAATGTGAGCTTAAAATATTGTTAGAATTGGATTAGCAATACAAAGTGAATTTAAATTCTCATGAGATATAATCATAGAAATATAAGATTCTAACTAATATTTTATTACGTATATAGATTTTGCTGAAACACAACATCAAGCTTTGAAAGGAATAAGTGTGAACGTATCAGGTAAGGGGTGGGCTATAAAGTAAGGATTACATCATAAACTTGTTTGACCTTATTTGTTGAATTTGTCTAAATTTGTTATGATTGATAATTTTGATTTCATTATATGCTTGGTTGTGAAAGTGATCATGAATTGCTTACGTGTATGATGGTGTAAAATACATGCATAGTACTCTATTATGATATGTATTGTCTTTGAGTGAGCATTTATATGCATGGTGGTTTTTCATGAGAAAATTCATTGAAAATTAAATTGAAAGAATTGGATGATGGGTTGTGAACCCTTTTTGAACTGTATTGGAAGTTTTCTGCTTGTAACAGGTGATTGGAAATTTTTGGGAAGTCCGTATTACAGGGGAAACTCTGTCAAAATTTTTGAAAAAATGTGAATTTCTAAGAAAAACCACTTAGGGACTCATATATTACTCATCTGAAAATGGTGATTTGTGAAATCTGGGGAATCAGAGATTATGGACTCTGAGAATACGATAGGGAGGCCCTGAGGGAGGACTTGAGGATAGGAAGGGTAGTGGTTAGAGGCCCCCAAAGACCCAGGCTCGCTACCTGTTGTCGGGGATCCCACTGTACAAACTCTCCTATACCTGACTGTGCTCTTACCGTATATCAATGGTCAGTGAGCTACTGGGTTTATATTTGAGCATGGGTCTCAACAATCCCGTGGGTGGATTTTCCATGCCTAGTAGTGTCAACTCCTGGCTACCCCAATACTGATTTGAGAAATGATTCGGGCCCGCATACATAAACCTTTTAGAAAACATATTAGGATCATGCATCATTAACATCAATCATTTGGAATTTGATTGACTTGTGAATGTTTATGATGTTGATTTTAAAATGATGTATGAACCGTTGCTCACCCTCTTGTCTTTCTGTTTTCTTTATTTCCATTATACTTGCGGTACTCGTTGGACCTGATCGGTCATTGTTTGAAGAGAGGGGAGATGGCACAGATTCCACAGCCAATGAATATGACACTCATACTCATTAGCTGTGAGCCACAATGATGACAACATGTATTGGGATAAACATATCCAAACTTTTATAGACAGTCTTTTGTAGTATATAGACCTACACGGTACTAGGTAGTAGTCACTCTTTTGTGTAGTTAGCTGCTCTATAGGAAGTATCCCCAATGTTGCCCTTAATATTTTGGAGGACTGTACTAGTATTTTATCTATATGTAATTATGAATGTTTACTTTTAGTACTTTTTAAAATGATGAAATGCAGGAATGGATTATTGAAAATTTATATATTGATATTATGAACGAGGGAAATATTATTATTGGTTTTAAAAAAAAATTATGCTAAAAATTATTAATTCTTCTGATTGAGGGTTTATAAGGTAGGGTGTTACACACACTCTGCAAGCTCAAGGTCACAAAAACTCACCCATGGCTCCGTACCACAAGCCATAACCAAACACCATGCACCAGTTGTCCAGTCAGCTCAAGACTGCACCTAAGATGGTGTTTGTCAATCATTGAGACACATTGTAATATATACTCTTAGGTAGGCATAGAAAGGAGGAATGTGGGACTATAAATAGCTATTCTTGACGCCTAAGTGTAGGAGTAGGAAAAGTTCCATATCTCTAAATACTTGAAGTGGATGAGAGGGAAAACACTATAAATATAACTCCTTGTATTCTCTTGTCACATTTGAATGAAATCAAGTTTAGTGTATGAAACTTGCATAATTGTTTGTACCCGAATTTTGGCTTGTCTTCAAGTGTCTTTGGAGACTTTTTTCTCCTATTCTCCAAGCAAGGAAACTCTTGGGAGTTTGAGGTGTATAATTTTGGCATCTCATTGGGTGGAAGGAGGAGGATATTTCCATCAGATTCACTGGGGAGAGACAACATCAATGAAACATGAGTCTAACCCACATAAGGGATTGACACTATTTTCAACCAAAAATCTTAAGGCATTAGGTTATAGGTATTTCTCACTTAAGTTACTCAACATTCTTATTTATATTCAATATGAGACTTCAAACTCATATTTGAATTCTCAACATACATGACCAATGGCCCTTTAAGTAAATGGCTTTGCAAACCCAAAGAGGAACCACTCTTAGTGACCTGAAATTTGCATAGAGGGCTTCACTATCTCCACACTAGCAATGTTGATGGTATAATTCATATAGATGTGAAACTGGCAACATTCTCTTGGATGAGAACTTCATTCCCAAAGTGACAGACTTTATCATCTCGATAAAAGGGTCTTCTCTTGATGAGAACCAAGTGGTGATTAGTACGAAGGAAACTTTTGGTTAACATAAATTATATTTTAACACCTAAAAAACATACAACCCTATTTAGTTATTATAATAATAATTTTAATTTATTTTTATTTTTATTAAATTATTATATGAATAAAAGTGGGTTGTTACGAGGATTGTATGTTTCTTGAGTTGTCAAATTATCACTTCTCTTTAGGGATAGCAAAAGGCTTGTTCGGTTCGTTTTTAACTGCAAAAAACAAGGTAGAATGGGTTATTTTGTCATAGTCAAGACGGACTACAAACTCTAGTTTGTCCCCATGTAAGAGCGGATTGCAGGTCAACCTCGCAAATAATTTTTTTTATATATTTTTAATTATATGAATAATTTTTAAGTTTTTATTTATTAATTAATATTTTTATTAGATAAATTAAAAAAATTATTATATTTATATGTCAAAATAATTAATTATAATTAAGAATTTAAAATTAAGTCTTATAATTTAAATTATAATATTATAATATATTTAAATATCTTAATAATATAAAAATAATAATATTTTAAATTATAATTATTTTTATTTTTATTTTAAAATATAAATATTATTTTCAAGCAAATTAACCCACTCTGTTCCATCCTTGGGGAATAGACACTGACAAATCAAATCTACTAACCTGCCCCGTAACTTTTTAAGCAGATGGCGCGTCTGCCCTTACTATTTCTATTTTGTTAAATAGATCTGAGTAATTCAGAAGCAGCCACCCTCACCGAAAAATCAGATGTTTATTCATTTGGGGTAGTTATAATAGAAATCATCTCTGATAGGCCTGCTTTAAGCTATGGTCTTCCAACAGAGAAAATTAGTTTAGCATCACGGGCATTGGATTCTGAACTAAATGGTGAGTTACATGAGATGATAGACCCAAATCCAGTTGGCAAAGTGAGAGTTTCTTCTCTTAAAAAGGTGTGGGAAGTGCTAAAAGGTGCCTAGCTGAGAATGGGTTTAGAAGATGCTTCTTGACCTTGAACTCAGCCATATAAAAAGCGAGAAAAAAATAAAGTTACAATATTAATATGTAACTTTTATTGTTACAAGCAGTAGTCTTTTATTGTAACTTTTATTGAAGATCTTGTCAAATGTACATTCTTTTCCCATATAGAAATCTATGTAAATTGTACATACTTTTCCATACAGAAATCTATGTAAAATAGACATAAAATGTCTATTCTTCGCACTTAACAGCAAAATGTTGTCCCATTGTATTTTCTTATTTGTGTATGTTATAAAGATAAAAAGGTAATTGAAAAAATAAAATAACTGTACATACAATGCATAAGTCAGAAGCTTCTCAAAAAGTTTACTAAAAAATTTATTTATTTTTTATCTATTTAACTAGATTCAATTTAGTCTTTTATTTTTTTTTTAAAAACTGTTTTAGTCATATATGTTTTTAAAACAGTCCTATATGTTAATTAAGACTATGCCTGACTAGGTTTTGTATTACTTTTTAAAACACTAACTTCTAACGGTTTATATTAATATTTTTTATCCTTCAAATATTATCAAAATATATTGTAATTCTAATTAAATAAGATAAGTTATTTAATTATTTGATTTATTTTCTTTCATCGTTGTCTTTTTATATTATACTATTTAGTTTAACTATTATATCATTTATAATATTTATTATTAATTCAATATTATACTTTAAAAAAGTTTATATAATACATTTATTTTATTTTTTAATTTTTTAACCTAGTTAAGCAATTAATTTCTTCAAATAATAAATAAAACTTTAAGTAGATAGAATCACCAGGCACGGCTATGGCACGGAGCGGGGCGGGTTTTGCCTTCCCGATCCTCGCCGAGGTTAGAAATTAAGTTCTCATTCTCATCCCCGCTAGGTTTCGGGTTCCCGCCTCGTCCTCGATCTATATTATCTTTAAAAAGATAATTATATTTATAATAAATTAATTTTATTATATATTTTATATATATAAATAAATATTTATAATTTATACTTTATAATTATTAATAATTAACTATACATTTTAATTTATTATATTTATATTAAAATATGTATATAAAAGAAATAGGTAATCATTTTTTATTTATACATATATATAGAATATTTATAACATTATTATTATTATTATTATTATTATTATAACACTTGTATTCAAATATTTGAATACTTATATTATTATTATTATTATTATTATAATATATTCAAATATTTGATTATATATTTAAGTTAATTCATTTTTAAGTTGTTATTTAAAAATATGAAATATATAATTTATAAAGAAATATTTAATAAGTTAATTCTTATTTAATTAGTTCAAAGTAATAAAAGTTTAAATTATCAATTCCTTTTAATCTTTTAAAATATAATTATTTTATTAAGATAAAATTTGATATATGATAATTAAGAATAATAAGATAAAAAAATATGATATAATAAAACATAATAAATATAAATTATAAATAAAATAATATTTGTTACTATTAAGATTTATGTAAAATATTTAGAAAAAGATAAAGAAAAAAATTAACTTTGTATTCATCAAATTGGTTGAAAAGATTGAAAAAAAAAACAAATTGATGGAAGAGATTAAGGAAATATGAAAAACTGAAAGGTAAGAGAGAAAATAATGTAATAAATTAATTGATATAAAAGATTAAAAAAGACAAAATAATTAAAAAGTGGGTAAAAGAAAAATAAAAATTGGTAAAATATAAAAAAATGACCTTATATGTAATAGAAAAAGAAAAAGAAATACTTTTAAAATATTAATATTTTAAAATTTAAATTTAAATATAAAGTCGAGGTTGGGGTCGGGATCGGGGTCGGGGTGGGGTTGTATTACCCATCCCCGCCCGTCCCCAACTTTTTACGACGGGAAAACTCGAATATCCGCCCCGGTCAACTTGGATTTTCTCCGTCAAACTCGAGACGGAGACGAGTCAATCCCTACGAGTACGGGTTTAATTGTCATTCCCACCTAAAATATACCATGAATTTCTCATTATTTTTTTTATGAACTCAGAACTACAAATAATCTGAAGAGTAATAACTCAATATATATATATAAGAAAAGAAAAAGGAATTCATACTATAAAAGTCGGAGAGATACGTGTTTGATGATTCGGATATTTACAGGTGTTAATGGTTCAAAAAAATCTAATCTCTCAATAAATAAAATCAACGAGAAGTTTCATTTGAGCAACATTTGGAACCAATATATATAAAGAAAGAATTACATGTCTTGGATCTTGGACGTTCATGGATCTTTGGGCCTTCGTAGATCTCAAAACGTGGTTTTAGAATATTCTCTGTTTTTTATAATAAGAATTAGGAAAAAAATTATTCCATACTTTCCTCTAACTCTGAATAAAAATCACTTGACTTGACATTCCGTCTTTTGAATTTATTAAATTTATGTGTTAAAGAAAACATATTAACAATATTATTCTATAACATAAATAATAATATTTTAAATATGAAAAATACCTTGACAAAAATAGTTTTAATATGTTTAACATGAAACTGAGTTCTATTTCTTAAATACATCAACCTTGATACTACAAACCGGAGATGCGCATGATAAGATTTTTTTTTAAGGAATTAATACTTTGTAAAAAGTTAGATACATGCGTCTTAATGATTGAAATTTACCTTTAGATCAATAAAAGTGAAATAACAAAAGGATTTTAAATAAGAATGTAAAGTGAAAAACATTGTATATTCTGAACAAATTTATTTGAAGAATAAAAAAAGAATTAAAAATAAATCATACATTGTAAAAAAAAAAATCATCATATCTAATTTGTCAATCTAACCAATTAAGAATAAAATAAGACAAATTGATTCATCAGTTTGTTTTAAAAAATATATATTAAAATTAAAATAATAAAAATTATAATTAAAAATATTATATTTTTTATTACATTAATAAAATATTTAAATATATTATAATATTATAATTTAAATTATAAATATTAATCAATTAAATTTAAATTATTAATTATAGTTAGATATTTTATCAAATAAATATTATAATTTTTATAATGGATTAGTCAATTTCACCCTATTTTTTTAAATACATAAATCCTATGACTAGAAAAAGAAAAATAAACAAAAAAATAACATCGTGTCAAACCCTTTATCGATAATTGATAGGGTATCTCTTTTTTTGTGAAACACCAAGATTTGTGAAAGAAGAAACATGGAATTTGTGTGGTTGGGTTTGGATAATAACCAAATTAGTATAAGAGGACATTAATTAGGGTTGAAAAGTAAGTCTTTTTAAATAAAAGTATATCTTATTATTTTCTTAAAAACTTGTCGGACTTAAGAAAATTTATTGTTATAATAATTAACTCGATGGTGCTATATTACCGTTTTAATGAGAAAAAAATGTGATAGAAAGATACAAGTACTTTACAGTATCTGCTTAATTATTCACTCAATTACAAGTTTTTACAAATAAGTATGATAATATAAAAGAATTTTCGAATAAAATTAATTGAATGTTAAATACTTATAAGCTTTTACTATTCATCTATGATCAGAGGGAGAAAACTAATTAATTATTATTGTGTGAATTTTTTTATTTTTTTATCATAAGTGTGTAGATTTGTTATTATGTAGATTTAATAATCCGTAAAATGGGTTGAATGATACTAATAAAATAAATGTTTAAATTAAAGTGAATTACATTTGGTTCGACTTTATTAGCTAGCTATTAAAAATGGGCTTATGTTAAACTGGTTGTATTTTCATAGGTTAACCTAATTTTAAAAATAGTAATTATAATTCTTAAAATATTAAAATAATATATATAAAGATATCTCAAACTATTATATATAAAATTAAAATTAATTTAATTATGTAATTTACGTAAGGGTATTTGTGGTACAATTTGATTTTACATTAAAAAGTCACCTGAATTAAATATAAAATTTATATGTATTTGATGAGATTTGAAGGATTTTTTTATTATAAATTTATTAAATATATTATAATTATTTAATAAAAAAACATATTATGAAGATATCATGCATAATAAATAACTTCAATTTATTTTCTCATATGTTTCTATATCAATTTAAAAAAATAATAATATATAAGTTTTAATTTTATACTCTACTTATATATTCAATATTTTGGTCTCTAAATAGTTATTAAACATATTTATTTATATATTTACAATTTTATTCTTAATTTAATTATTATTAAATATATATTTATATTTTTATCCCTTCATTTATATTCTTATACCTTTTAATATTTTTTATATTTTTATATTATTTAATAATATTATTTAACTTTAAAATCAAGGGTGATTAAGATCCATGATTTTATGTTTTAATTTTAATTATATATATCATAATTTCAATTTGATATATTTTAGATTAATTTTTGTCAAATTAAAAATCTTATCAAAAGATTGATTTTAAAAATTTTCAATCCAAAATATGTGAAGAATAAGTATTTTTTTTAATTTAATATTTTTTATATTTAAGAATAAGTTTGTTTTTTAATTTAATATTTATATATATATATATATATATATATATATATATTATTTAAATTAGGTTAAAATAATCTGTTAGGAGGGGACTAGACCAATTTTTCTTATCCATTTAAAATATGGATCGCAAACCCACATAAAATTTTCACATGTTGGGAAGAACGATCCACTTTTCTAGAGACAAACTTACTCACATAAAAGAAAACTAAAAAAAAAAAAGTTATTCTTTCAAATATTTTACACAACTACTTATCTAAAACCTAGATTCTGATATCACAGAATAACTATGAAATCTCATTTACTAAGAACCATGCTGAATAATAATATATGTGTCTAACTAGGACTTGCTGAGAAAGTTCTTGAACCATTGTGCCGAGAGTTTTGGGTATCTTTTCAAACCGTTTTCAAAATCCACAAAGATGAATCCAAATCGCACAGTATAGCCAGAGCTCC